CAGGAGGGCGTGCGGGCCTGCGGGCCAGCGTGGGGCTTCGCCCTGGCTCTCTCTTGCACACCTTTCTCCGCCTACCCGCCCTTCCCGGACCCCAGGAGGTGGATTCTGAGCAAAACCGGCCCTGGATCTAGCGCGTCTGTGGGAACCCCACTCTAAGCACTGCGCCAGGGCGGGTCTGCGCGAGCCTCCCCTGTCGAGCGGGACAGGACGGGCGCCTTCCCAGTTCCCTCCCGGTGGACTCGGGGGCGGGGCGGCAGGGGCAGGCGCAGGGGTGTCCGTTTTGCACCTGGAAAAGCAGTCAGGGACTAAAACCGTCCGGTGCATTAAGTTGACACATAGTGAGCCAGGAGGGCGTGGTAGCCAGTTAACAGTCCCCAGGGCCAGGGCAGGCTTTCTCCCACCTCCTTGGGGTTGGGAAGTGGTCAGAACCTGGGCCCTGCAGCACGTGGGGCGCAGGTCCTCGAGGATCACCTGGTCCTGATGGGAGGACCTCCTCTTTAGTGAGGCTGCCACTGCGGCCCAAATGCCCAAGGTCACACAGCGGCCTGGCAGCATATGTCCCCCTTCACTGCCCTCCGCACTGTTTAAGCCCAGCTCGGGCTTAGACCCTGAGCAGAAGAGGGGAGGCAGGCCTGCCATTTCAAAATGGCTCTCCCAACCTCCAATTGCTGGTGGCTAGTCTCTGGTCAGTCTACTGACCTCTTGGAACTTTATCTAAAGAATGGGAATAATACTAATACCTACTCCCCACAGAGAGTTGTAAGGGTTGAACAGGGAGAGGGAGATACACAAAACATCAAATCCAGAACTTGACATACAATAGGTGGGTGTGTTTTTTAAGGTTATGGGTCTGCGAAAAGGGGGGTTGTAGATGCTAATTATGAGCTAAAACAGGCACAGTCCTTTTACACTGATCATTAAGCATCCAATTAAATTACTTACTGAACATCTTGGTTTTCCTCAGCCCCAAAACTCTTAGTGTGGCTACTTACACCAGCAAAGTGCGTCTGCTCATTTCTCACTTGCTATTTTATGCAAACGCCCAGCTTCATTTGCTGAGGGGGTCTCTCCATGATAGATGGGGTGGGAGGGGGCTGAAATATAGGTAAATGCTGTAACTATCTGTCTGATACTCCTACTAAATTGTAACTCAAACAAGCTTGAAAAGGCAGTAGCACTGCTTTCGCCTAAAAAGGTGATATAATAGTTTAGCATAGGTGATTCAGTGGAAGAGTGATCTAAAAGGCCAGCACAGTATTTTTAGAGGGGACTAAAAATTTGAAACTTTAAAAATAAATTTAGTATAGGGTCTTAATTATTCAATTCGTTCCCTAGTTTTTCATAAGATCCCCAGGCGATCAAATGGGCTTTGCCTTGAAATTACTTTTTAATCCTCAAAGTTTAAAAAGGGCCCAGGAGCCCTAGCTGGTTTGGCTCAGTGGATAGAGTGTCAGCCTGCAGACTGAAGGGTCCTGGGTTGATTCCCATCAAGGGCACATGCTCAGGTTTCGGTGTTGATCCCCAGTAGGGAGTGTGCAGGAGGCAGCCAATCCATGATTCTCTCTCATCATTGATGTTTCTATCTCTCCCTTTCTCTCTGAAATCAATAAAAATATATTAAAAAATAAAAAAGGCCCAGGAAACATGAGACACTTCAACTACAGGAAAATATGAATGATATGTATTACCATCAGGTATTTTATATAAAGAGAGAAATAACTTCTTTCCAGAGAAAAAATTCAAGAGATTGGGGTAACAATCCATGGCTACCTAGGTTTTGCCCTGCAGCCGGGAAACCCATTAAACCTGACCCGTCCCCCTTGAGCAATGACCAAACCTCCTCCAAACCTAAATTTAAAAAATCAGAATACTTTCTCATACTCAAACAAATATGAGCAGAGTACCCGTTAAATATTTGGGTTGGTTCACAAAGTTCCATTTTTAAATGGCTGATTTCATTGTCTACTTCGATTATATAACAAATTAGGTAGCAGTTTTGGAGCTTAAGAACGAGTTAATCATCAAATCTACAATCACACTGAGTGCTTTGGTCCTACACTGAATCTGCAGCTCCTTGAAATTAATCCTGTTTACCTTCCTTGAAATTAAAGTAGCCCCTGAAATACAATATGGTATTATCTTGAGGGCATGGAATGAATTATTAGGATGGCTGTTAGAGTCAATTATTGGGATTCAGATCTCCCATTACCCTATGGTTTATTTATATGACATGAATATTGATGGGAAGGGTAGTAGTGATAGAATTGGTTTTTGTTCTGTTTAATAATGCACATAGGGATCTATGTTGCAGGCATCACATTAATTTATAAACCTCCAATAACATGTAATTAAAAACCATTAAAGATGTATGTATCTACTCATATACATATACAGACAGAGAGAGGACAAGAAGAGACTTTTTAAAAATGAATTGGAAGGCTATGTACCAAACTCAGGATAATGACTGCCTCTATGAGGTAGAAAGTAAATGAACAAGCCCAATGGGTAAGGAGTGGAGTGGGAAAGAGCAGTGATCAGAAAGATCTTCTCTTTCATATTTGTTTGTGTTTTCAGGAAATTAAAGTAAAGTCGCATTATTTATGTAATCTTTTGAGGTATATAGATTAAGAAGATCAAAATACAACAGGAAAAATATTTATTTCCTTTGATCCCATAATATTAATTTCATATTAGGGAATCTACCCTAAAAGGCTTTATACACAGAGCTTTTTATTATTATGTTAATTATGTATAAAATGATAACTGGTGGATATTATTTAACAATAAGGAGAAATAAAGTATAAGTACATGATAACAACATGGATGAACTTTGAAACATTATGCTAAGTGGGGGGGCGGGGAAGCAAGTAAGAAAACACCAGATATTGTATGATTTCATTTCAATAGAATGCCCAGAATAGGCAAATCCATCAAGAAAGGAAGTTAATGAGTGGGTGATTTTCTAGACTAAGGGCATTGGGGAAAACGGGAAGTGACTGCTAATAGATATGGGGTTTCTTGTTGAGGTGATAAGATTATTCTAAAATTGATTGCAGTGATGGTTGCACAACTCTGTGAATATATTTAAAGCCATAGAATTGTACAGATTTTTTTTTTAAATCCTCACCTGAGGATATATTTTTTAATTTATTTTAGAGAAAGGGAAAGGGGGAGAGAGAGAGAGCAATTGGTTGACCCCCATACATGCCCTGATGGGATCAAACCCATGACCTAGGCATGTGCCCTAACCAGGAATCAAACCTGCAACCTTCTGGTGTATGGGATGATGCTCCAACCAAGCCACCCAGCCAGGGCTAGAATTGTACATTTTAAATGTATGCTTTGCATGGAGAATTGTATGGTATGTTAATTCTATTTCAATAAAGCTGTGTTGAAAAACAGATTTTCAGAAGAAGAAAACGTTTACCTTGATAAACTACTTACATAACTCTTAAATGTATAAGTTTCTAATAAAAATATTTTCATGTTTCAAATATTTGTATAGTTTATAGTTTGTTCTTTTATTAAACATTATTTCATATACACTTTATCTTGTACCAACATAATCTACATAGTTATTCAATGCCATTCCATTATATCGATGAATACTTATCTATTCTCAAATTCTTAGATATCTGAGTTGTTACTAATATTTGTCTCTTTGTAAGTAATGCAGCAAGAATACAAGGACCATGCATAGGCATATCCTAGTTAAAAACTAAAACTGTTAAAAACTAAACATAGCATTCGGGTCTTAAAAGCAGCCAAAGAAAAATACACATTACATACAGAACAACAATAAAAGCTATGACAGGTTTATTATTTAATGTAATCATTAAAGTATTACAATTCAACATTCAACAATGTAAAATTCACAATATCCAGCATTCAAATATTACAGTAAGCAAAGAAGCAGAAAAATATGAC